AGGTTTCAAATTATTGTCGTTCATGGACACATACTCGGGGTACAACCAAATCCCCATGGCAAAAATATACAAGAAATACATGACCTTCATGACCGAGTCAGGCAACTATTACTACAAAGTAATGCCCTTCGACCTGAAAAATGCTGGCGCTACTTACCGACGGATGATGAACAAAGTCTTTCGAGGTAAGATTAAGGACATGCTCGAGGTCTAAATGGACGACATGATTGTGAAATTCAAAGAAGAAACCAACCACACCCTCCATCTCAAAAGGGTCTTCCACACAACGAGGAGATGCAAAATGAGGTTTAACCCGGAGAAGTGCACCTTCGGCATCCGAGTAGGCAAGTTCCTCAACTTCTATCTGAAAAAATGAGGAATCGAAACGAACCTCAACAAATTCAGGGCTTTCTCCGAATTTTCAACGCCGATCACACGATCATGAAGGCAACTACTTGGCTGTCTCGACATGGCCAGTAGAATGCTCAAATGGCCGCTGGAACTCTCCGAGTTTGATATCCACTACGAGGGCATAATGACCCTCGAATCCCAAGTACTAGCCAACTTCGTGGGATAAATGACCGCGTCGGCCTCCCCAACAAACGAAGCCCACAAGTGTACCATATTCGTGGACGGGGTATCCAGCTCGATAGGAAGCGGTGTAGGCATCATTCTTGAGAACCAAGAAGGCATCCTGATCAAAATTTCCCTCGCTTTATCCTTCCCGACCTCGAACAACCAATCCGAGTACGAAGCCTTCCTTGCAAAGTTGCGCTTAGTTGAGGATCTAGGCACGGAAGAGGTAAAGATCTTCACCGATTCTCAGCTCGTCGCCTCTCAAGTACGGGGAAACTACCAAGCCAAAAACAACAATCTCATTGAGTACTTAACTTTGGTCAAAGAAAGGATGAAAAATTTCGATTCAATGGAGGTTAAGCATGTTCCCCGCAAACACAACACCCGTGTAGACATCTTTTCGAAGCTCGCGAGCACAAAGAAGAAGGGTGGAAATAAGTCCGTCATCCAGAAGGTACTTTATCGACCAAGCATTGAGAAGCCCACTGGGACCATTTACATGAACGCCATCGGCAACAACTACTGGATGACCCCGATGTACACATACCTCACCACGAGGGAACTACCCACCGACCCTAAAGGGGCTAACATAATCAGCGCAGAGCTTGCTCTTACGTCTTGATTGAAGACAAGTTATACAGTTGAGGATTCTCCATCCCTCTTCTCAAGTGGGTCGAGGAGTCCAAGGTCGCTCCTATACTTCAAGAAATCCACGAAGAAATCAACGCCTAGCACCTCAGAGAATGATCCCTTGCCTGGAAGGCCTTGCGAGCAGGATACTATTGGCCCACTATGCAGCACCGCACGACGCAAAGGAACATGTCAAAAAGTGTGACAAGTGCCAACATCACTGGGACATGCACTTAGCACCACCCAACAAGCTCCAAACGCTCTCGTCCCCGTGACCTTTTGCCTGGTGAGGGATGGATATCCTCGGCCCGTTCACCATGGGGTCGTACCAGAATAGGTACCTGATAGTTGGCGTCGACTATTTCACGAAGTGGATCGAGGCTGAGGCCCTCGCCAAAATCATAGCACATAACGTACTTCGTTTCTACAAGAGAAACATACTTTCTCGGTTCGGCGTACCACAAACACTCGCCACCAATAACAGGTACTTCATGAGTTCCTCAAAAACTCCATCGGGTACTTCATGAGATTCATTAGAAGTTCATGAACCTCACCGGGAAATTCATAAATCTGGCCGGAAAATGCATAACTTCATCGCGAAGTTCATAGGCGTCGCCGAGAGACGCGTAATTTGCTTATTTCCTACTCGAAGTTCGACGACAGTTGGCGGTTGAGGATGAAAGAACCACCACCAAACACCAACACTCACTAGAACTGAGCCTTAAAGCTACGTCCTAAAGCTAACCGCTACCATGCAAACTGAGAAAGGCAATAGAGACTTACTTGGTTAAAGAGGATTCTGGAAATCTACGGTGGTGGAAAGAAGGCTGACGGAGGCGACGATGACGACAAGCAAACGTTGAAGAGAGTAGAGAAATTCTTGAGGAGCTTGGGAGTACAATGAACGTAACAAATAAGTCCCACTTCCTCCTACTTATAACCTCTAGCACTAAAAAATAAATTGTCGCTCAACCATTGAGTACCCTTACTCATATACCATCGTAGGCATGTAATGCCTCTAACGCATGACACGGGGAGATGACACATTCGTCCATTCAAGTCCCCTTAACGATATAGATTCCAACACGTCGGGCATAATGGGAAAAACTCTTCTCTCACGAGCACGTCCTCGGGGAAAGGCTCTGAACAAGTCATGCCGTCGAGCACAACCAAACACTTTGGCATCCTCGCGACCACACGATTGCGACAATAAACTAGAAGCAAGCTCGTGTCGTCGAGAACAAGTGGCTGCCCAACGTCCCTTGCGAGTAGAAACTCGTCGAAAAACTTTTATGCTCCCTCGCGAGCTGGCAACCAAGAATCCGAACAAACACTCTCCTCGTGCGGATTTCCTTCACCCCTCTTCGACATGCAAACTTACTTTAAGTCATTACTCCCCTGACCGGGAGGAACGAATTAGGGGGCTCTTATTCTGGACTCGGCCTAGGGCTGACCCACCGTCGGGTATAACCCAGTTCAGCTCTACGACGAGGAGAGCCCAACACAGGACCAATCCTTTATAGTCGTTGGAGGTCACGTTTTCCACATGCCCCTAACGTGAAGACACGTCACCAACTGAACCCACGTCTTTCGCATGACAGTTTTGCCCTCAGGGACGGGCAAATCCACTCCGAAGTTCGTGGGACAGCTGACCCAAGATGAAGACCACATGCTTGTCTTCCCTACTTTCACGTAGGATCTTGGCAGTCGTATGTTGCAGGCTTAACAATCCAGCCCACAACAGATGACCTTTGGCCCAACACTAGGGGATCTATAAATACCATCCTCTGTAGGAGGATTATGTATTATGAATTCATTCTCACTACCTTGTACTTGCTCTTTCTCTTTTTACTCTGAACCTTACTTTGACATCAAAGTGTCTTGCATGTACACTCCCTCCTCTTCTCTATCACCGACGAATTTAGAGTCCACGACGTATTGCTGGGCGCTGATTGAATCTCTGATCTCAATAAGATTAATTATTATGATTATCAATATTATTTATATTTACCATATTCACGATGTATAAAATTGTAATATATTATCTATTTAATAATATCAAGTTCAAACAATAGGGATTATGTTCAATTTTAACAATATCGATTTTTGACCGTTTAATTAAGACTTGTAGACCACACTTTTAATAATTATAAAATTATTCTAAAACTAATTAGTTGATATATATTTTTGAATAATTTTTTTATAGATATATTTGATGATTGATAAAAAGTTTTTCCAAAAAAAAAAATTCACAATTCAATTTATAGATTTAGATTTTCATTACTTTTATTTTGATTGATTTTACATAAAATTTATATTTAATTAATTTAATGTTAAAAGATTGAAATTTTATTCTTTCTTAATATGTAAGAAATGTTTTCCCTAATTTATTTAATGTTAAAAAAATTGAAATTTTATTTTTTCTTAATATGTAAGAAATGTTTTCCATAATTTATTTAATGTTAAAAAAATCGAATTTTATTCTTTCTTAAAACTGTGGGTAAGATGGTTTTGTAAAAGTAATTTTTTAATCAAAATAAAAAATAAAATTATATAATTTTATGGATGACTTGTGTATAAGTGTATCTCAATTAATATATATATTAATTGAGTTAAATAAGTGTATAGTGTTAATTTAAAGTTTAATTTCTAACATCAACATTTATTTATTTATATTTATACGCTTAATATGAATACTCTTTCCATTCTCTATTCTCATTTATAAACAAATTTTGAATGATTAGATTAATTAAATAAATAATATATTTGGACTATATATAAATTAGACATATTAATTATTTAATGAATTTAAAATATTAAAATTTATTTAAAAATAAAAATAAAAGGAGTAAATTATTAATATTTATAAATCAATATTTTTTTAAAATATTTCACTCCTTCTGTTTTTTTAATTGTCATTTTTTAATTTTTGTATTTTATACAAGTTAATCAATATTATTACTTTTCAAAAAGTAATTCTCATTTTACTTCTAATAATATTAATAATTTATTACATCTATTTTACCTTTCTCACTCTGGAGTAATTATTTAGAAATAATTTTGACAAAAATACATTTAATACTACCTTAAATTTTAGAGATGACAATTAAAAAAAAAATTATCAAAAAAGTGACACTTAAAAAAAGGGAGAGAATATAATTTTATACAACTAAAAACATATAGTATAATTTTAGTAATAATAATAAATTAATTCAAATAATAAACATATTTAAACATGCTAACATTATTAAACAACGGTTTCATATTCAAATAATAAGAATTTTACTAAAAGTTAAAGCTCTAAAAGTAATATAATATAGTATTAACTAAAGAAGCAATAATAAATAAAGTGATAGTTTTTTTTAAAACTACGGTCAAATTATATAATATGATAATATAAAAGATATTTGACCATGGTATTTTATATATATATTTTAATAGAATAAAATTGGTTATAGGCTGTGTGCCAAGTAAGGTAATGCGTGGCAAGAAAGCACGAGTTTTACGCTTACTACTCACTCACTACTATATAAACGCTCCTTCTTTCTCATTCTTTCACTCTCCAAAACGCACAGCCCTTGTTTTCCCTTTCTCTTCTCATTTCAACAACCGAACGCCCCAAACCCTCTCAAACCCTAGCCAAGGTCAGTGATTTATATCAAAGCAACTCTCACTCTTTTTCTCTGCTGTTTCGATTCTCTGATTTTCGAATATGATTATTTTTACAAAATTCGTGATTATGTTATTTACGTAAACCTATGAATTTTGATGATAATGTGATCAGTGTTGACGAGATGGCATCGAAGCGGATCAACAAGGAACTGAAGGACTTGCAGAAGGATCCTCCTGCTTCTTGCAGTGCTGGTATTTTTTATAGGCTGTTTTGCCTTGATTTATTTTTTCCTCTGTTTTATTTGAATTTTTGAGTAATTTTTGAATATATATTTGATTTTTTTGAGATGTTTTGTGTTTCTGGTTAGAGCCTAGATTTTGAGTTAAACCATGGATTGTAGAGGGTTAAGAAAGAAATTTGATAGATATTGTACTTTATTTAAATAATTTCTTTTGATATTATAATTTTAACCACGTTCTATGATAACTTTGATACACTTTTATGTATATATGCATGTGTGCATTGTATTGTGCCCATATATACATTTTGATTGTGTTGATATGTTTTTTCTTAAGTGATTATAAGAACTTAAAATTGATTTGGTATGTCTGAGGTTCTTGATAGGGATCAGAAATTATTCCAACTTGAAGCTAGATTAGATTAGGTTTTTCCATACTTAAACTTATACTGTTTTTAATGCTTAACTAAAATATGGGGATGTAGAACATTTTTGTAAAATTATGCAGCATTACTCAGATGCATTAAGGGAAATAGAGTTAAAATTGTATAAAAAGTTCGGGCATCAATGTCGCATTGAGTCTTTAGTTGGTAAAAAATTGATACTTTCTGATTACTTATCTATTGCGATGCATCTCATGTGTATCTCGGACGTCAATACATTTATATTTTTTGCCGCATTTGGATTTCATAGTTTTTCATGAATGCTGTATTTTAATGCTTTGGAGCATTTGCCGGTTTCTTGTTCCCATATGAAATGATTGATCTTTATTTTTATAGAACCAAGATAAAGTTAGGGCCGTCTTTGAGGGCATGCATCAAATTTGTTAGGGTTAAATTATAGTTAAATAGGGCCTTCATAAAATAATTGTCAAGTTAAATTGTGTTTAAATAGGGCCTCGTGACAATATTTTTTATTTTTTGCTTATATATATAAATAATAGCACAATACTAGGAAGAATAGGACCGCTTTAATTGTTCTTGTTTGATTAATCCCACTTGGACTGTTCAGTCAGTATAATAACTATTGTTTTTTATTTTTATGTCCAGGCCCTGTTGCTGATGACATGTTCCATTGGCAAGCTACAATTATGGGCCCAGCAGATAGCCCATTTGCTGGAGGCGTGTTTCTTGTGCAAATTCACTTCCCTCCTGATTATCCTTTCAAGCCACCCAAGGTAAACTCAACTTCTGCTCTATGCAAACTTGTTACAGACACACGTTGAACTGTATATCTAGGAAGTAGGAACACTTTTATGCAATAGCTTTCTTTACTTTTATGTTAGCTTCATTTTATTTTTTGAATTATGGTATTATATATTTCACTTTAGTCAGCATATAGCAATTGGAATCAATATATAGTGATGGATATAAAATCTAGTCTCCACTCTCCACAAATCTTTTTGCAAGGATATATGTTATATTGAAATTGATGAGCAATTCGACAAATCTTTTTAAATATGTAGTCCATTACATCTCAAATGTAGTGCATTGGATATTTGTTGCAAACTTGTGATATTATTGACGTTGTTAAAATCGTAATTTAAATCGCTAGATTGTGCTATTTCACTATTCTACACAAGCAGTGGCAGATCTTCTGTATGATATGTAGGAACTGTGGCTTCCCCAAAATTTTTTTCTTCAGACACACGCACACACACATATACACTATTATTTCTGTTTTAATACCAACTCTTGCTAGTAGCGCATCAATACATGTTATGCAGCCACCGTGTGTTATGTTTGGTTCTGATGTATGTCGTTTTAGCCTTCACCTCCTTTTTTTGCAAAAGAATAACACCTAAAAGTAAAAAGACAGATTCAAGCCCCTATTCTTGCAATAATTTTTGTAGCAATTACCGATACATCTTCTTTATCAATGCAACAAATGATGTTTAATGTGGCTCCCTCAAAAAGTCTTGCTATTCCCCATTATACATACGCCTGATACAGAATCTTATTCTGCCGTGGTTGAAGTGAGATTGTGATTCTATAGCGTTGTTAAGAAAGCTCATTTGCAGGTCATTTGTAGGTCAATTTTGGGGCCCCGCACACACACACACACACACTCATCTCTTTAGCTCTCATTCTGTTTGTCTTCTCCCATAATGTTCTTGCTGTTTCTCTGTTTTTCTTTCACAATCTTTCTTCTGCTGTCTAGTCTCTTTTGTGTTGGGACCTCTGCTGTTGTTGACGACAGACACTGAGGTAGAAATGAAATCTAGGGTTACAAGATTGTTATGATGTTCTAGTTGACGACTGAGGTAGAAAATAAATCTAGGTTACAAACAAAAAGAAATTTAGGGTTACAAGGTTATTATGATGTTACTGTTTACGTTCCTCTTCCATAGTATTGGATATTATTTCTATATCTGATTTACTCATCTGATTATAAGAGGATTCTTGTCTTTTTTTCTGCCGCTGTTGTTGGTATATTGGAATTTATAGAGATAATTTTTGCAATTTTTTTTCATTTGTGTGACATCGATTATGAATATGTTCAGGTTTCATTCCGCACAAAGGTTTTCCACCCTAATATCAACAGTAATGGTAGCATTTGCCTCGACATCCTCAAAGAGCAGTGGAGCCCTGCCCTCACAATATCCAAGGTAATCTTAGATTCTATTCGTTCATATTAAGAAATGACAAATATTATGGGATAAATGAAATAGTTTTTTTTTTTTGGTTTAGAAACTAAAAGGTTTTATTCTGTAGGTGCTGCTGTCCATTTGCTCTTTGCTGACAGATCCCAACCCAGATGATCCTCTTGTTCCTGAAATTGCCCATATGTACAAGAGTGACAAAGTCAAGTATGAGGCCACCGCTCGTTCATGGACCCAAAAATATGCCATGGGTTAAGAGAGGCAAAATATTTTAAGTTTTCTCTGTAGGAGTAGTAAATAATAAGTAAGTGATCTAAACCAATGTGATACTTTACTCTCCTTTCTGCCAGCTTGAACCGTTCAGTATTTTGGAAGGGCAGTTTTGTGGTATCTAAAAGTTTATGAACACAACTGGCTTATATATTTAAATCTATTTTGTTTAGTTTACATTTAATTATTTCTCGATGAATTTCCAAGTGAATTCTTCTATGTGAGAAATATGTTAGATCCACAGGTAATCAATCAGGCCTACTTAGGCCTTAAAGTGGGCCAAGTTCTGATTTCATTCTGGCCTTTTAGTACTGATTTCATCACTTGGATGTAATGCAAGTGTAATTGAACAAGCTCCCTAATCAAAATATTGCTGGGTCGATGCATTGTCATTAGAGGTATACTGTTGGGTATAATTATATTAGAAGCCAGTTAGTTGAAGATTATTCTATTTGCATTTTAATAATATTTGAAATTTGAAGTACATGTGGTGGGTTGGTACTAAATTGAGAACAAGCTAGGTTTGTAACCCTTGGATTAAAAATCTAACACAATAACTTGTTTATGTTGATGAATAAGTTCAAACTACTAATTTTGAACTCATATACAATGAGGGGCCATAGTTTTCAAATTAAGTGACCAAAGTCGATTAAGACTGTGACTCAGTACAATCTTTTTAAAATCGATATAAATAATCGATTATGTGAGGTATTTAGTCGATTAGGATTATGACCTCATTGATTATATTAGTTAATTAGGCTCATGGGTTGTGTCATTTTTTAAAGTCTTCTCTTATATAAAGAAGGTGTCTCTTCATCATTTTAAACTAAAATTAATCTCTCTCGTGTGAGTGAAAACTGTTTGTGAGAAAGAATTTGTACTGGGTATAATATGCAATTGCTCAAGTTTATAGTCAAATCTCAAGAAGATCATTTGGGGACATGAGTGCGTTGATAGGTTAATCAATGGGTAATAATTTTATCGTCTTCATAGGAATTGTAGTGATATCACTTGTTGTTCTATAGTTTGGTATCATAAGCTGTCCCAAGTTTTAGTAGCAAAGAGTAAATTCTAAAAAGATGTTTGTTTAACAAGACATATCAAGAATAGATTTCATCAACCTAACTTGCATATATTCTCTTAATTAAGCCGTGAGTATTATCGTATCAATCACTAGATGATGTCTCATGCTAACACTCAATACAATAAACATAAAGATTGATACAAAGTAAATATCAACACAAAAATCTATGTCTAGAGTTTGTTCATTGATAGATGAATATCTTAGGTCAATTTTGAAAATTCTATGTCTAGAGTGATTCAAAACAAAGGTATATCATAAAGAACAAATATATTCACCATATATTAATCATCAACTTGTTTACATACAAAAGATTAAAGAAAATACATAAAAGATCAAGGAAGACTACATCTACTTTTAATACAAATTAGTTTAGCTACCCATCACCATGGTAGCTTGCTCAACAAGTAAGAAAGAAAGCTTTAATAGCATCAAAGTCGAAAGATCGAAGATTGATGCTCTAAAGCTTTGATTTTTACTCCCTTTGAAATTTCTAAGCTTCTAGACCTAAAATATTTTTTCTAAATCTGAAAAGTGAAAGTTGTTGTGAAAATATCTCCAAAGTTGCTTTATATACAAGTGGCAAGAAGTGTCTCAAAGTGACGCCGCGCTAAGCCCACGCAGAGCGCGCTTAGCGCGGTCAGTAACCAGAAGTAAAATCTCAAGAAGCGCACTAAGCGTGGTATGATCGGGCTAAGCGCAGTTTAATTCATTTAGCTACTTCCATATACTCAAAATGGTGCTGAAAATTGGGCTAAGCGAGCTCGCGCTAAGGACCGGGCTAAGCGAGCTTGCTTCAACAAAACTTCACAAAAATTAAACTTTCTTCTTTTCTTTGGCTTCTGTTCCATTCCTTTGTGTCTTTTTCAACGATGATCACCACCTACACAATAACACACAAATCAAAGAATCCAAAGGTATATGCAATTATATTGAAGATACACACAAATTCATGAAATAGTTCTATTGAAACACAATTAAAGAGTAGAAAAATGCCAAGAAAGATGATCAAAATTAAGTCATATTTGACATTCAACAAACTCTCTCCAACTAGATCTTTGCTTGTCCTCAAGCAAAGTATGCCTCTCATGAAAATAAGTGAATTTTCTCAAGCTAAGATTCAATCAAGAAAGGATTAACGGTTCAAATTCAACATACGAATGCGCATAAGCAATGTTCACTACTTCCTAGAATCAAACAATGAGAAAAAAATTTAGTTCTTAAAACAAATATCATGCAATGCATTCAAATAACAACTAAATTCTCATGCATGAATCACTCTAACACTCCTCTTCAAAATAAGGATGAAGAAATTTACGCGTTTGTAACCACGGGATAATTTACACTCATCTAAAAAACAATGCTAACAACAATTCAATTCATACATTCATCTAATCAAATTATAAATGCAATCATGGAAGCAAAAGATCACTAAGGGCTTGTAAGGTTGTAGCTTGGTCGGGTTCAAACCAAAGGGTAATTTCTTAGACCATTGAATCGAAGTTGCCACACAAAAGCAACATTCATTATCAAAGTATTTACACATCACAACTTCTTCTCACCAATTCCTTTTCTCTGTTGCTCACCCTTTCAAACTTTCTTTGCACAATTATTTTTCATCTTCTACTTTTCTTTCTTGAACAAACATTTTTTTTCTTTTCTTTTTCAAATTCATATTCACAATTTTCTTCATGCTTGTTCAAAATTTTTCAAAATTTTCAACAACCTATCATTTTTCTTTCATTCTCCCCAACTTGAATACAATCAAACCTCATGTGAATATTCCTTACTTTTTATGGTAAGGAAATCAGATTACAACAATGATCAAAGTTTCAAGGTTTCAAGAACAATTTTTTTTAGAATCCCACCAAAAATTCAATAATGAAATTAACTTTCAAGTTTCTCTATGTACATTTTCCAAGTTCATCACAAAAATGAAATCTAATTTGTTAAGGCTCAAAGGGGATAACAAATACTCACTACTAATCGAGTAAGTTACTTTTTGGGCATGTTTGTGCTCAATATAAACAAATTGCCTTGATCATTTCTAAAACTTCCACAAAATCACAATAATAAAAAGATTAAGCATGAATAAAATGAGTTAAACAAAGTTATGAGTCATCCAAGCATTTTAGTGCAAAATGGAGGTTTCTCACAATTTGTGGCTTTTGGACCTAAGTGACTCAAGCATTCAAATAAGTTGTAAAATGAGGCAATAATACACATTTGTACAAAGCACAAAATTCTTAATCATCTAACATTCTAGAAAGCGACAACCATTTATCTTGCTTGCATTCATCACATTCAAATTCCTATCATCATCATCCAAACTTGGTAGAATCTTAGATACTTTTTATGCAAAAGAGAAATCAATTTAGAATTTCTCAACAACCATTCTAAGTAGAAGCAAAAATTCAATAAAATTAAACAACCATAAAAAAAAAACTAAATTGAACATTCAAAAACTGAACTATTCAACTCATAAGACATAATGTACTGGTGTAAACACCAATAAAAGTAATAGTACAAGCCAAATTACATCCAATAAAATAAGTCTTAACAACTAAACACAATCATAATTACCATAAAGACAAAAAATAGGATGATAAAACCAAATCACTCCTCCTCATGACTAGAGGACTCCTCCCATATAGTCTCCCCACTATCATCATCATTATCATTATCATCATCCTAGGCCACTTCTGCCTGAGGTGCCTGCTCCATGACAAAATGAAATGGCCCGTTCTCAGGTCAATCGATGAACTCATCAAACTCCTCATCAGTGGGCAGTGGATGATCAACATGTGACTCTCTAATCTGAAGCTGCAATGTGCGTAAAGAATACTGAATAGATTTAAAATTTCTTTGTTTGGCCAGGTGCATGTCTCAAGTATACATGCATCCAACCCGCTCTAGACGGTGACCACTAGAGGTTGCGGCTCGGATCTCATCAGAGATGATCCTTGCCACATCTACCTGCCTCTCATCCAAAATGCAATACAACATGAAAGAAACATCAAGAGGGATGGTAGAAGTGTGACTCCTAGGCCTTATCTTGTGTCAGACTTGTAAGTTGAGTGTGCACCTAAGAGGGGGGTGAATTAGGTACTTTAAAACTTTTTCCGATTTTTATCTTATGTTGAGTTTTCTTTCCTAAATTGTTACTAAGTTATAAAAGCGATAAAATGCGAAAAGTAAACGACAAAAGGAAATATCCTGGTTCTCCTCACAGTCCAAGAGTACTACAGTCCCCTTTCAACATGAAAGAGACTTTTAATATTGTTGTGACATATATAAGACTAATCCTAGTCTTCCTGTCACTAACAAACCAAGAACAATCCTCTTGGAATTTTTCATTAAGTTCAAATGAGAACAATCCTCACAAAATGAACCTCTTGCTTCCAACAATCATGGACAACAAGGACACAACAAACCACACAATCTTATATCCAACAATCCTGGAAAAATAAGATGTGATACAATTTTTTTGAACTTTACAAGTATTTGGTATGAAGATTACAATATATCAATCCTAAGATTGATGTTCACTTTCAACAACAATAATTCATAAACACTAAAGTGTTAGATTACTCAAGAATTTTCTATTTTAGATGATGTGAAAGTATGCAGAAAATTTATTGAATGAAAGATAAAGACTTGAAAAGTGAATTTTGACAATTTGAAAATTTGCATTGAAAGAGGTGATTGTTTGATTTGTAGTTTCTAGTATTTATAAGCACATAACACCCTTGTGAAACATGGTAATGTCTGAAAAAATATCATGAACAAATGCCAAGATAAAATGAAAAGGTTCCAAGAAGAGTGACATGAAGAGGTGTCATGAAAGATACTGATTTTTCAATTCTGTTCAGGTGCAAATCGATTGCACCTATGTGCAAATCGAT